GTCAGATGACTTGATCCCCAATTAAACGATTTGGACTTGATTTGATTGGAGACGACTTCTTGGAGGACTTGCTTCTTTTATCTTCTAGGAGACGGATTTGAACTTGAATAACGTTGACTCGAGGGCTTGAGAGCTTTTTTTCGGATCAAATGCTATGTTGCTTGAACTTCTCGACGAACGCGGCTTGAATGCCGTTTGAACGTCGTTTGTATTTTTGGAATGATTTAAGAGGAATGGACGTCACCTATTTATTTATTGGGGAGAGTCGCCGCATCTTTTTCTTCTTCATTGAACGGACTTCGGCTGTTCGAATGTTTGGTTGCGGGTTGAACGTTGATCTTCAACTTGAATGCCCTTGGATCTTCAAAAACTTATTTGAATCTTCAAGAGGGTTCTTGAGAGCTCTTGAATTTGAGACATTTATTTTTGAGGTGTCTTTTATTTTTTGATGCGTGATTTGTGGCATTATGGAGAACCCTATTTATAGGTGTATGAGAGAGTCTCAGAGAAAAAGACATCAGTTTGATTTATAGGTGTATAAGAGATAGTTTTAGAGAAGAAGAAATCAATTTGCTTGGTCCTTCATGATTTGATATGATATCTTTCCTTATCCCAAGATTTGATATAATCTCTTTCGTTATCCTAAGATTTGACTTGACGGACAAAAAGTATTTACTTTATTAATTAAATATCTTATTTATCTTGGATTTATGTCCCAAAATAAAAAAAAATTAATAAAATATTGAAATTTCAACTTCTACAATACAGTTACTAAATACTCAAATTGTAAACTTAATTAATAATTAAATTTGGGCTCAACTGTGCGAGTTACTAAATACTCAAATTTTTAGCTTAATTATAAATTAAACTAGGTTCGGCTATGCGTGCACAACCGCAAACCCAAGTTTTCTCTATATAGTAGAGCTTCCCAAAATCTTCTTGTGTTTTATAATCTTATATATCAAATTCTGACGTTCTCATAATTTGTTTGTGCTTCGCAGGGGCGAAGCCAGCCTCAAATTTCACCGGGGTCGGCAATATTTTTTAGCGGAATCATTAACCTAGTAAACAGTGTTTGAACAGTATTTTATACTAAAAATTTTGAAATCCATAGGGGTCAGCTGACCCCAGCCACAAGGCGCCACTGGTGCTTCGGATTAATCCATGTAGATTTGGGCTCCTATCCATAGCTATTATGACTTTAAATATTACAAAACACTTTGCTAAGGGCATCCGCAACACGAAGTCCTTTTTTGCCGTTTAAACGCCCCCCTTGTTAAGCATGGATGTGGCTCATACATTAAAAGGGAGGGGCCACTTATTCGTTCAATCCATTGAACGCCTCAACATTTTTTTTTTTTTTTTAAATCATTATTCAATCAACGCATGCTTTCTTTCTTTTTTTTTTGTTTTAAAAAAAATATTTAATCACTCTTTTTATTTTTATTTTTATTTTTAATTTTTTTTTTATCTATATCACACTTTCCAATATAAATAAATTCAGAGCTACGAGATAACATAATGCATCATCAACTTCGTGCCGATTTAGTTGAGCATATTTGGACTCGTTTTGCCAACCAGTAAAAAAATATTTTTTTTAAATGTAATATTTTTTTTTCTTGTGTAATCTTAACTTAAATTATTTTAGTCTTGTAGTGTTCTTTTATTTCATGCATTTAAAATTTATTATTATAATTTAAAAATATTAAATTTTATTTTTATTGAGAATATAACATAAAAATTTATATTGAATGAGTAGATAATAAGTCCCACATGTGTATTTAAATAAATGTGTAGGAATGTGGAGGAGAGATAATGTTGTTTTATTATTGAATGAATGATATTTGTGTTAAAGGGTTGTGGATGACCTAACTTAAATTATAAATATTTTTAGAAGTTAATAGCTTTTGTATTTGTTACCACTTTCTCATATATGTTATATCAAATTAATCATCTTTTGATGGTCGATATTATATATATATTGCATATCTAAAATAAATAAATTATTTTACTTATCTTTATTATAAAAATTAAATGACCCATTAATACTAATTGAAACTAATTTTATTCATATATATATATAAAAGTTAATTTATATATCAATGAAATTAACAAAATTATGTATCATTTACAAAATTATCTATAAAGTCATCATACTTGAACTAGAAAAAAATATTATAATATGAAATGGGTACATTTTACAAGCGAGTAATTTTTAATATAAATTACAATAAAATACTTTTTAAAAACATTGTAAATTTAAGGCTTAATTGCACCTAAAATCTTCAACTTTTGTGTAATTGTAAATAAAACTCAACCTTTACATCTTTGCAAATAAATACCAACGTTTTATTATGTGTTACAAATTTGTCTCAAAACCATTTTCCGACCGATCTTTGTTAACGTGGCACTTATGAGTCTTGTGTGACATGAATCTTTGAAATTTCTCACCATGTTTTTGTAACACGTGCCAACAAATTAACCAAAATTAGAGTATAGTACCATTTTTTTTTAAAAAAAGATTTTATCACCATTATTTTGCTCCATAATCTTCATAAAAATCGAGTTCTTCTCCTCCAATTGAAAAAAAATATATTTTTTGCAGCGATTTTTCTCTTCTCCATGGTGCGATTCTTCACTCCCCAAAAATCGAGTTCAACCCCAACATTTCAAATACATTTATGAGTTCACCCAAATTCTGAAAAATTGGGCAGAGGGAGCGATTTTTGAGTGACTTTTAAGCGATTTTAGTGTTCTGATCAGACACGCCACCAAAATTGGCCGAAAAATAATTTTGAGATAAATTTGCAACACATAATAAATGTTTGATATTTATTCAAAAATATAAAAAATTTGAGTTTTATTTACAATTAGTACAACACACGTGTATTACACGAGTGCTTGTTAAAAAGTTATTCTTAAATTTTACAATTAATGAGAAAAAATAAATAAAAATTAAAATAATTTTTCTCATTAATTGTGCGACTTACATGTGTTATATTATAGTAATTTTTATAACTTATATCATATAACTACTTGAAATATAAATATTTTAATTGATAAATAATTTTATTTTTCTAATTAATATTAATTTTTTTATAATTGTTAATGTAATTTTTTTTATACATACAATGTGGTTGTTAAATCGAAGCTCATGAAAAGATAATTAATTTGATATAATATATATGTAAAATTGATAATAAAAAAAAAACAAAAGTTATTAACTTCTAAAAATACATTTACAATTCAATGATTATAATAAGAAACAATATTAAAATATAATTAACACATGTAATATGATTATAAAAAATAATCACCATATTTATAGATAATCTGAACCTAATTATTTTTAGATTAGAAATAAATTAAGATCTACACAAATCTAATAACGAATTATGTAATTTTGCCACATCGATTTCCAAAACATGGGAGTCTATCACTTAAACTCAACACGTTCCGAAATAACATATAAGGGGGGAGAGGGATTACACAAAAGTGAAGATTTTGTGCAATTAAGCCTAAATTTAAATAAAAACTTCTCATATTTAATTTATTAGAATTTAAATATAAAGTTTTTAAATAATACACATTGGGGTTGTAGTGTGTATATATATTGGCAATTTATTGGGCACCGTTGATTAGGTTTGGTCCGATACTAATACTACTTGCTTCGCAAGCCTTTCCATCTTTTTCCCGGTCCACTTGCCGCCCTACAAAATTGCCTGCCTATACAGTCTCCTTTCTTGGCCACCGTACAAATTTGCCTGCTAAACAATCTCCTCCTCTTTCTGGCCACTAAAAAAATGCTTAACATTTATACTTGTCGAAAATCCCAATTTCCTCTTGTCTGTTCTCTAAAGGTTGTCGCTTGTATGCTAGTGCAGTAGCGGCTTCAAAATTTCGAAAAAAAAAATAGAAATTGTTCGTGATACATTTACTCCGAGGAGAGGAGAGACGAATCCCACGCCATACAAAACGAGCTCACTCTCACTTCTTTATTGTATGGCATGGGATTTTGCCAAGAAAATCATTTTTTTTTCTGATATTGCACTGTAGAAGCACTCAATCGGCTTACGTTTCTGTTTTCAGCTGCCATGGCTGCATTCTTGAAAGCCCATGTCCACTTTGAGAGCTGCGAAAGTGGAAATAATGAAGGGATTGAAAAACCCAAATCAGGGGATTTGGATATCTCTAATCCCTGTTGGTATTCTTCTGAAACAGGGATATACCGAAGCAAATACCCTACTGTCAACTTGCCTTCTGAGACGTTTCTTGATGTTGTTTCTTTTATTTTCTCGAGAGAACATCGTGGGATTCATGCACTCATTGATTCTTCATCTGGGCTCACAGTTTCTTACGCCAAGCTTTTCGCTTTGGTAAAATCCATGGCTTCTGGTTTGCACAAAATGGGTGTGAATCAAGGTGATGTAATCTTGATTTTGCTGCCAAATTCTGTTTGCTTCCCTTTGATTTTCTTGGGTGCACTGAGTATTGGAGCAACTGTGACCCCCATGAATCCGTCGAGCAGCTTGCTAGAGATAAAAAGGCAGGTTCTTGATTGTAATGCCTCTTTTGTCTTTGCTGCTTTGAGTAAAGTTGATGAATTGGTTAGCCGATTGAAAGGGTGCCATGTAATTGGTGTGCCAGAGGTTTTGGATGTCAACAATGTGCCTAATGATGGCACTGTGTTCCACAATCTGGTTTCAAGTGATCCTAATTTGGCTCCGAGGCCTAAGATTACTCAACAGGATGTTGCTGCTATTTTGTACTCGTCGGGCACTACTGGTAGGGCTAAAGGAGTAATGCTGACACATGGGAACTTTATCTCCACGGTAGAACTTTTTATGAGATTCGAAGCTTCTCTCTACAGTTATCCGCCAATGGATAATGTCTACCTGGCAGTTGTGCCTATGTTTCATGTGTATGGGCTATCTCTCTTTGCTATGGGGTTGTTGTCATTGGGTTGTACTGTTGTCACAATGAGAAAATTCGATGTAGATGAAATGGTGAGAGCTATTCATAAATATGGTGTGACTCACATTCATGCTGTGCCGCCTTTACTGATGGCCTTGACTAGGAGAGCCAAAAGAGATGGAAATAATGGTTTCAGGAGCTTGAAACAGGTATCTTGTGGAGCTGCCCCACTGAGCGAGAAAAGCATAAGCGATTTTAACGAGGCGCTCCCTCACGTTGATTTTATTCAGGTACAACAATTTCACTTTGTTTCATAATAGCAAATTTTGGTTCACTTTGTTTTATAAAAGTAGAGTTTTGGTTTTCTTAGTTACTTTGTGCAGTGGTTAGTGTTTGCTTGCTGATTTATGTTTCTGTTAAAAGATTTTCCATATATGTCCAAATGAAGTTGAACTTCAAGAAAATATGATGATGTCAGGGTTATGGCATGACTGAGTCGACTGCTGTGGGAACTCGTGGCCATAATACCACTGAGGTTCGTAAGTATTCATCTGTTGGACTTTTGTCTCCAAATGTTGAAGCTAAAGTGGTGGACTGGGTCACGGGTTGTCATTTACCTCCAGGGTCCGTTGGTGAGCTTTGGTTGCGCACGCCTGGGAACATGAAAGGTTATTAATTTTAGCTTATTTCTTTCTGTCAGTGCTGGTTTTTCTGCATTGCCTGTTATGTAAATTTGGGGTTATTGTTCCAATTGGATTAAGTATGACAACATCAATGACAGTTTAGTCTATGTAATGATTGTGATTGCCAGTTCCATGTTATTTCTTTGTTATTGCAAAAATTAATTGCTAACTATATTGCAGCTTTTCTTTTTAGTATCAACTATCAAATTTGTAGTATGAATGTCGAATGTCTTGCCATTTAACCATGCCTCCAGCTGATATAGATGACTAATCATGTCAAGTGTTCATCGTGCTTTATTTACTGAGTTTGTTCTGTGAGATATGTAAAATAATAGTTTCTTAAATCTATTGGTTGATGTATTTTCATCTTCCCCTAGCAGGGTACTTGAATAACATTGAAGCAACTATGGCTGCACTTGGCAAAGACGGTTGGCTGCGTACTGGGGACATCGTATATTTCGATCAAGAAGGATACTTATATGTGATTGACCGATTAAAAGAGATCATAAAATACAAAGGCTTCCAGGTATGAAGTCAGTGGACACAATTCATATGGAAAAAAAGTAAAACAGTTGAAATTTAAATAATCATTTAATCAGTGGCCTCTCTCTGATATTTCAGGTTGCTCCTGCTGATTTAGAGGCAGTTTTGATGTCCCATCCTGACGTGCTCGATGCGGCAGTGATGGGGTAAGTGGCATTCTTTCCTTAATGATATTGACTTCCGTATGTTTTCTGTATTTGTTTCAATTTTGGAAGTACAACATTTCCTAGTGATAGTTTTCCATACACAATATATTCAATGTGAGGTTCATCTCTGATGCTGGGCATGTGAACTAGGACATCTCAAGTTGTGCAAAGAAAAGAGAAAAGACTTCAAAATTCATAGTTTTATTCTGATTTTATCAAGACTCGTATCCGTGATTCAGATGATCACCTTATTAAGTAAAGTGACTTTACTTGTTTAGCATTAGTGAACTAAGGAAATTAAGTTAGTGTGTGCCCAAGACAAAATTATGTGTTATTACGCGCGCCTAGTTTCAGAACTGAATAGGAGGACCAAAATTAATGTGCCCATCGAGTCGACTCTGTCCAGAACTTTGGTACGAACTTCGTCAAAATTTTAGCTTTGCAAGAATCCAGCATCAATAGGGTCAGATTTGACTAGGACTTAATACTTGCTGTACAAGTACAAGGTCTGGAATCGAGAATCATAAATCCTACTCTTTTCCTTTGTTGATTTGGGGTATCAAAGCATATAAAAAAGAATGCATTTATTTCTTAAAACTAGTACATATCCCGTGCGATGTAAATTAGATAGAACTACATTTTCATGAAAAAATAAAGTTGTTTGTTTTTCATTTTGATGCGATTCAAACCACATAATTCGTCTCTAAAAGCACATAGCTTATTTACCTGAAATATTTAATTCTCAGCACAATGAACATTTATAAAGCACCAAAAGTGTTATATAATTTTCTTGAAAAAACATGTCTAAAAGCAAATATTATATGTTTCGCAGCACTGTGATTATAACATACATTTTCCTTTTTGTTTTTCTTTTCTCTATCATCCTTCAATTTCTAATTTTGCAAATGGATAACTACACAAATTTTTTATTATTATTTTATGAGAATGAAGATGGTTAACCCATAATTGTAAAGGTTGTACCATTTGAATAAATATTCTTTTAATTACATAATTCTTATTTTAATATTTTTAATTTGGGAGGTATTTTTTTAAATTATCATAATTTTGAGGATGTCTAAAATATTAGAAAAGATCCTATATAACTGCTATATATTTTTATGAATTAAATGTTTGTCCATGATAATGCGAAAATATTAATAAAAATTGTAAATTTTAAAGATAATAACAAAATATATTTTTTTCCTCGTACTAAGGTTTTGACTTCGCTTAGTATTTAAATAAAAGATCGGACACTAAAAAAAAGGAAATAAATAAATAAATAATCTTTTAAAGAAGTCTAATGTTCGAAAAAATTAAGCAATCAAATCGTCAGTTATTTAAACACTTGGTGATAATAATTTTTAACCGGTTTTGCTATGAAGCCAACAGTTGGCTCCATAGTGGAGCCAACCTTCTATATATAACAAGTAAACCTACCATATTAATAAAATTATATTAGTGGTATTTAAGTATTCAGAGAATATATCCTGTAGGTTGTTTACAAGATATAGATATACTTGACGTTTCGTAACAACCTAATCTCATTGGCTATATTCAATTTTTGAATTGAGCAGCGCTAGAGACGAAGAAGCTGGGGAAATTCCAGTGGCGTTTGTGGTCCTGAAAGATGGGAGTTCAGTCTCTCAGTCAGCTCTAATTAACTACGTAGCTAAGCAGGTCATTCCTTTTAACGTAAACTAAGATTATTTCATTTTCTTCTGTGATTTATTATCATTTTAGATGTACAAATGCTGATAAATTTCAACACTTTCTCGTCCTTGTTTGCTGCAGGTTGCGCCTTACAAGAAGGTAAGAAAGGTATATTTTCGTGCCTCGATACCAAGGTCAGCTTCGGGGAAAATCCTCAGAAGGGAACTAAGGGGTCTATTGGCATCCAAGCTTTAGCTCGGCAAGCAAAATTCATCTTGTTAGAGTTTTGGGAAGGAAGATTTCTGGTGAGAATATCGATATGCACGGTTGATTAGTTTGTGGGGGAAGAAATACACAAATTTCATTGTAAAAGAGAAACTATACATCATTCGAAAGCTTGAGAAAGGAAAGGAGATTTATTTGGATTTATCTACGTTGGAGTATGATTTGAGTGTTTGTTTGATTCATTAATTATCAAAGTTAAGTTGTTTTGTCAATGTGCATGCAGTTTCATAGTTGTCTGTTCAATTTGAGGTTTGATTGAACTTGTGAACTCTTCAATAGAGTTGTTACCTTTGAGCTTTGAGTGCTCTTATGTTGTTCGAAAGTTAATAATGTACCATTTTTATTTAAATAAATATTTGTAATAAGAAGATAAAAGATAGATGTTCTATTTAAGAGCATCTCGAATGATTCATGAATTGTTTTTTTTTTTTAATTGCCCCGTCGCATAATAAATTTTATGTGCCATTCAAAATGTCTAGAAGTCTTTACTAGACATAGAAGTACTCATAAACATTCTCTACTATATATTATATTATTTATTAAATGTATCTTTCATCTTCAACTAATTATAATCTTACGCACGTAAAATTATACTAGAGTTGACATTAATTATTGAAGACAAAAGTTTGTAATTTTCTTTCTCTGGGTTATACATCTCCCAAATTATACTAGAGTTGACATTAATTATTGGAGACAAAAGTTTGTAATTTTCTTTCTCTGCGTTATACATCTCCAAATGGATAGTATACGGTTAGAGATGGTCTAAGAGCCTCTTTAATGTCAACTAAACCTTGATGGAAATTTTTGGATCCTACGTTGAATGTGGTGAATAGTGCACGTGGTGACTCTATTTTAAGAAAAAAAAAAAGAGTAAAAAAATATTGTAATTTGATAGAAAAGGCAGAAAAAATTATAACAAAACTACAATCGAATTTCATAAATCAATTTGCACAATGACTTGGCAAATAAGAAGAGGAGTGAATCATCGCCTTCATTCTTTGTATAAGAAAAATATATGAAAGGGACATGCTACGGTTCCGTTACGGAATCATTCCGTCATGGTTTGTAACCGTTAGATCAACTGTTTTGGACGGTTGCATGATGATCTAACGGTTACAAACCCGACGGAATGATTCCGTAACAGGATCATAGTATTTTCTTGTAAGAAAATATAAGTAACTAAAGTTTCATACTAATTATAGTCTACCATACTCAATTCTAATTCAACTAGTACAACACCCGTGTATTACACGGATGCTTGTTAAAAAACTATTCTTAAATATTAAAATTAATGAGAAAACTATATTAAATTTAGTTTATTTTTTTACAAAAAAAAAAAAATATATATATTACTATATTAATTAGAATGATATGTGTTACTTATGACTTACATGTGTTATATTATATTAGTTTTTATAACTTATATCATTAACTACTTGAAATATAAATATATTAGTTGATAAACAATTTTATTTTCTAGTTAATATTAAAAATAATTTTATTATTGTTATAAAGATAAATATAAATTATTTTTGTTATACATACAATATGGATGTTAAATCGAAGCTCATCAAAAGAAGATTAATTTGATATATTACATATGTAAAACTGATAAAAAATACAAAAGTTATTAACTTTTAAAATATATATTCAATTCAATAGTTATAATAAGGAATGATATTAAAATATAATTAATACATATAACATGACCATAAATAATCAACGTATTTAAGGTAATTCGAACCTAATTATTTTTGGTTTGAAATTAAATTAAAATTTATCCAAGTCTAATAACAAAGCATGTAATTTTGCCACATAAGATTCCGAAGCACCAGAAACAGCCACGCAGGCTCAGCGCGTTCTGGATTAATATATAAGGGGAGGGGATATATCTTTTCTTTATTATAAAAATACTAAATTATCATTTTCTCTATGAAAACATATAAGAACCAAATCTACGTGGATTCAACGCTAGAGTACACATGTATATCAATGGAAGCTGCTCTTGCTGACTTCCTTCCCGTGGGACAGGACATATGTGCTAAAGTTTCTCAATTAGCAACTTAGGACTTTTTACAATTGTTAATGCAAAACATCGATTTTGCTATGAAGTCAACAGTTGGCTCCATAGTGGAGCCAATCTTCTATATACACGACAAATAAACTTATTATATTAATAAAATTATATTAGTTTATTTAAGTAATCAGAGAATATAGTAAATTTATTTGTTGTATATAGAAGGTTGACTCCACAATGGAACCAACTGTTGGTTTCATAGCAAAATCGTGCCAAACATATCTCCTTTAAAACATACTCTTATGTTACCAAAATAACACACGCATGACAAAAAAAAAAAGTTCAGAAAAAAATAGAAAAAATATCATTGATTTTAACCAGGATAAGAACAAGGAGAAGACATTGAATAGAAGCTATAATCGTCACAAAAAAAAAGGTAAACATGTGATTATAATTCGTCGATTGAATTATGTGTAAATTATTATTATGTTTTTCATTTTCATGATTTTGAAAAAATCGAGCTTCCATCACATTTATTTTTTTTTTTTTTAAAAAAATCATGTGTGAGCGAAAATTTCGTTATGATTGCTACATACTTATGAACCTGAAGTATCCTGGAATCTCGTCTTTGTGATTACTTCCAACTAGTATATAACCCGTGCGATGCACGGGCTGTATTTATTTTTAAAAATAATTATAAGTTGAAATCTATTAATAAATAAATTATATTTCGTAAGACATTTGTAAAGTAATCATAATTTTTTTCGTTGGTAATAATAAGTCATACATTATTCAAAGTCTAATTGTACACAACATTATTAGTTTGATTACTGGGTAACTTATCATCCCCACAAACTAATATTTTCAATCACTTCCTAATAGTTGCACATGAAACAATAACATATAATTGGTTGTTACTAAAAAACGATTTCTTCAAGAACAACTATATGCGATAAAGACTAAACCTGACAATATGTGGTTTTATATTTTTGTATAAGATGCTTTTATCGTATGAGTTTGATTGGATATTTATAAATCTCACATTCGTGTCAAAACAAAAAATATGGTATGAAATTGAAGTGATAATATTTCTTGGTGTGACAATGTCACATATTTTGTTTATTCGGATGATACCAAAATAAAAAAAAGATTTTCACCACAAAAATTATGATATCGTAAAGAAAAGATCGTTAAAAATCTCAAATTTAGTTAGCATAATTTGTAGTTGAATAGAACCGAATATTATGGCAGTATTATTAAACAAATTATTACTATGATTAGTGGATTTTATGTTTATCTCTTATATTCTCTTAGTCTCATTTAATCATCATATTGATTCCAATATTTGGAATAAATTTGATTCTATTTTGATGGCGACGAGATCGCACTTGCCTTTATGGAGAAACGAGACCGACGTCGCCATTGATCATTATCTTATTATTCAGTTTCCTATTTTTATTTATTTAGCATATCATATTTATTTAGTTGCCTATTTTATTTAGTTGATTTAGGAAAGTTATTATTTTCTTTTCTTAGGAAATAAGTAAGAGTTTTTTAGTGTTTGAAACTCTATTTATTGAGGGCTGTGAACAGATGTTGGAATTGAATCGTTGATGAATAAAAATTATCAGTTCTTGAGTTCTTTGTTCCTTCGTTTAATCTCTCGTTGCGTCAGTTGGTATCCAGAGTCCAGTACGTTCCAAGATGCCGCCAAAGAAGAATG